AATTAGTGGGTGAATACTGCCTATGTTTGCTTGCTCTGGTTCACTTAGAAAAATGGAGATTTTCTACTCCACTTTCTGGCATTTGCAACTCTTTCCACAAGAGGACACTATGCACCATGACATTGTCCCTCCTACTTTGAGTCAAAGCTGGGGAGTGGAGGACCATTTCAAGGACATTAAAGAACCAGGCAGAGGTCCTGCTGGAATATCTGGGGTGATGGGGAACAGTGAGACCAGCTGGATGGCTTCAGGCACATGACACTGAGCAGGAAGGCAAATTAGGTAGCATTCGCGGCTTGTACCCCCGATAGGGGAGAGGCTGAGACATCCCTGTCATTCCCAGGGCCTTCCAGAAGTAGCTGCAAGCTCTTTTACGGTAACTATGTCAAGGACTTAAGATAATACAACGAACAGCTTAAATGTCTGCAATGTTTACATAGTTATACATGCATCAAAGGGAGGATTTTTAGACAGCTGTGGTTTTGTTGGGGGTGTTGTAGCAAATCCTCATCTAGTGTTCAGTATGTTATTAGATAATTTTAATTTGTGAAACACTGCAATTTGAAAATATGTTTAGGTCCCATGTGATGAATGAAGAGGTGTATAGACATCATGTAACAGATACTACCTGTTCTCCCTGTGACCCTGGCTACTCCCTGGTGGTGACATGGTTTTGGAGAGGCGGCTACATTTTCTCTGAGGACACCACAAAGCAGCAATCTGAAAATTTACCTCCTCTGGGGCCTGGCCGAGGGCAAGAGGAGAGGAAGGATACCTGACTGCGTCAATGATTTCGGCCTTTCTCTTGACTGCTGTCCCTAGCGAGGTGGCACCCTGAATCCCTCCGTTCGCCATTACTGACTATGCACGGCTTTCATTTCTATTCTTTGGGATCATAGGCAATGTCTGTAGGACAGTGACCAACAGCTATTCAGGGTGATAGGAAGAGAATCACCACAATGACGACAGCAGCAGTAATAGTTACTGCACACTCAGTGCTCACACACACAGTGGCCAGGAGAGTGCTGTACGTGTGCCAGGTACCGCTCTACACCTGGGACAGGTTGTCACCTTACTTAATTCTTGCAATTATTTCTTGAGGCTATTTTTCTGTGTTGTGGTTGAGGAATCTGAAGGTCACAGAGCAGTGAAGTAGGGTGCCCAGCACCTCATCCTTCATCTAGAGAGCGGATCTGCTCAGGGCCTGCACACCTGTCTATGTGCAGCTCTCACACTTAGATCCGAGTACCTCAGGCCCAGGGAGGAAAGACAGGCAACTCGCTGAGACCCTCGTATCCTGCTTTCCTCTCTCACAGTGCCAGCCGTGCTCATCCAGCTGCTCGGAGACTTCTGCATTAAAATAACACACGTTTTTTTTCTATAGAATTCATGTATATTTATTATAGAACAAATTAAAAATAAGGAGAGCTTTTAAAAGATGACTTTTAAATCACCTCAATAGTCCAGAGTAATTAGTGTTATCTAAGTAGGTATATACTATCACCATGTGTGTTCACATAGATACACACAGAAGCACAGACATGAATTTTATGAAATTTGGATAAAATTGTTGTAGAGCTTCCTCTTCTCATTTGGCAATATTCTGAATATTATTTCTGTGAACAAATATTTGCCTACAACATTTTGCTGCATTTGCTTAGTAAATTATGTTATTGAAATACAACATTCAGTACAGAAAAGTACACAAATTGGAGGTGTGCAGCATGATTAATCTTCAGAAAGGTTATGTGCCTGGGAATTGATTGGCAATGTACAGAACTGGAAGGCCGCCAGCGCACCAAACTCCACCTCAGACCCCCGTCACGTCGTTGCCTGCCCCTTCTTCAAAGTTCACATCTATCCCCACGTCCCCAGAGATTTGATTCATATAAACCTTACGTAAATGGAACTATCGTGTATACCCACTTCTTCAGCTTCCCACTGTAAGACTGACCCAGATGTCGATTGTAGGCTTAGATGGCTTACTATTATGTAATGATACATTCTGGGCACATATGCAATTTATTTTTCCTTTAAATGGGCATTTGGATACTCTTTAGGTTGAGGTCATTATGAATGTCTTTGCACTAAGCAATCTATTATGTATCTTTTGGTGACATGTTCATAAATACTTATTCCTGTTTTGTATTCGGTTGGGTTTATGTCGACTAGTGAAAGCTGGGTCATAGTGTAGGCATATTTCAGCTTTAGATGACATTGCCGTACTTTTTTAAAGTGGCTGTAGCAGCTCACACTTCCACCAGCAGTGCTTGAGAGTTCTCATCTGCAAAAATTTTTACAGGTGGTATGGAATTCCATTTTAGAGATGCATTATCATTTATTTTATTGGTCCCCTGTGGTTGGGTGCCTGGGTTGTTTGCAGCTTTTGCTGTTATAAACAGCTCATGGATGAACATTCTTTCACGTATTTTTAAAGATGTTAATGGATAGAAGGCCTAGACAGGAAAGCAGAGTTATAAAGAACACAGGCTTTTGAGACAGATGGTTGGGGACTCATATGTGCTGTTACCCCCTATTTTCAAGTTCTATATTTGCTCCAGTCTAAGAATCCATTGATTAGAAACATTGGCAACTTAATGACAGCTTTTAGGGGGTGGACACAACTCTATATGAGTTGATACAATTGGTACATATTGATTGAAAATGTATCTTAGAATTAAGGAAATATGGTGCTTAAACAATATAATTTCTTATCTGTTAAAAATATGGTAGTAATAATAAAACAGTGTCTAGTTGTTAAAAAATATGACAACACTAACACCTACCTCTTGGATTGTTGAAATGATCAAATGAGATAATATGTTGCACAGTGCTGGCAGGATGCTGGCACATGGTAAGTACTGATGAGTGACAGGAGGGATTGGGAATGAAGGGTACTTGTTCATGTGAATATAGTCTTTATAATGTTGCTAGTCCAATTCCATATTCACTAAGTACTTACTGGGTATTTACCACATTTTGGATATGTAGGAGTTATTATTTTGAAGGTTAATAGTGACTTCTACATTCCTTATGCTTAGAAGTCATCTGATAATTTGATGTGGGAGAATTTAATATCCCATGGGTCACAAATACTCAGTAATGAGAGTATTTAAAATCAGGGGAGCTATATAAATCAATGAGATTTTATTTTCAGAATAATTATACTGATTTTGCTTATGTAATTTTGTTCCTTTTTTTTTTTTTTGGCAGAATCTAGTTATCAAAGTGAAGTAAGGTAAGTCTGAAATGACATCAGTTTTCTAAAGACAAAAGCAAACAAGTGAAAAACAACTGAAGAGCCACCCCACCACCACTACCACATACACAATGGGGATTTTAGGATTATGGTGCTCAAAATTAAATACCAGAAATGGACAACCCTGAAAAACACATATGCCAATCACAAACTCATATGGCAAAATTAGTTGTAGAATAAAATTAGTGGGTGAATACTGCCTATGTTTGCTTGCTCTGGTTCACTTAGAAAAATGGAGATTTTCTACTCCACTTTCTGGCATTTGCAACTCTTTCCACAAGAGGACACTATGCACCATGACATTGTCCCTCCTACTTTGAGTCAAAGCTGGGGACTGGAGGACCATTTCAAGGACATTAAAGAACCAGGCAGAGGTCCTGCTGGAATATCTGGGGTGATGGGGAACAGTGAGACCAGCTGGATGGCTTCAGGCACATGACACTGAGCAGGAAGGCAAATTAGGTAGCATTCGCGGCTTGTACCC